CATAATAGGAGAAGGTGCCCCAAAAGAGGAGGTGGAGGTCAACAGGTCAGTGAATACTTTAAATTTGTCAACTTCCAATTTTTTGTCATTTCAGCAATCACAATTCAACCTATGACATGATTTTGTTTTGTTTTTTGTTTGCTTTTTTGCAGCCATCCCAGCCACAAACACAATCATTTCAACCACAGCCTCAACCATCTCAGCCACAGCCACAACCATCTCAGCCACCTTCTCAGCCAGAGCCATATGTTCCTTCCATGCCTTCTTTTGAAGATTTTATTCAGTGCTCTGGTCCTCAAACCTTCACTCAACAAAGCAGGGAATATGGTGGTGATTACTGATTTCATGGTGTGTTGGTCAGTAAAATTTGATTTCATGAACAATTGCTTTTTTTTTTTTTTTGCATGTTGGTCAGTGTTTGTGATGATGGCAGTTATGAACTATATTTGGTGTTTATGGATATTGACAGTATTTTTGACAGTTTATGGCGATTATAGTGTTTTTTTTTTTCGGTACAATGAAGGAGGCTGAGGCCTGAACCTAGGCTAGTGTTCGACGAGGATATGAAACCCCTATAAGATCATGATCTAACCAAACACCCATACCACTGGGGGGGATGTAACTCGCTGGAGTCCAATCGGGTAAGATGCTGCAAGCCCGGTCAGGAAGTCTGCTGCAAAATTTGCTTCTCGATGTACATGTTGTAATCTCACGATCCAATCTCTCTGGATCAGGTCCCGGATAGCTTTAATCATCGGCCCATGGGTTCCACTAATCTCATCCTTGTTACGGACCATATTTGCCACGCATAGGCTATCGATTTCAGCGACCACTCGACGGTGTCCCAAATCCCACGCTAGTTGTAATCCTTGGAGAAGCCCCCAGAGCTCGGCTCTCGTGATGGTACAATGCCCAATATTCATAAGGAATCCCTCAATCCATCCACCCATTTCATTTCTTATCAAACCACCCGCGCTACTCAACCCCGTATGGTGATTGAAGGCCCCATCCGTGTTAACTTTAACCCACCCCGGGTCCAGGGGGCCCAATGGATCATGCGCGTAACATGCAACTTAGCACCAACCCTCATATATGCTTCTTCTGCTCGCAAAAAATTTGCAGCTAGTTCCAGTACCTCAGTCCTCTTAGTTTCAGTCGGTAGAGTCTTATTTTCGAAAATCCGTGCATTTCGCCATTCCCAGGACTTCCATACTGTAATGGAGAAGATACAACTCCAGTTCACATTCGCACTTCTTCTTCTCTGCACGAGGTTCTTACGCAACCATATTTTGAGCGGTTGTTGGAAGAAAGTTACATCATGATCTGCCGGCAGTAGACTGGTCCATAGAGGCTTGACGTACGGGCAATCCCGCAACACGTGGATAACGGACTCGCTGTCCCCACAGAAATCACAATTATCATTGCTCGTTATATGCCTCCTCATGCGTTCAGCGTTTGTGAGAATTCGTTCTTGGGCGACTAACCATAAGAGAGAACGGGTTCGTTGAGGTGCCGGTGCCCGCCAAATGAGCTTCCATAATGGTTGGTCGGGGTCTCTCTCCACTCGGGATAAGGCTCTGTATGCTGATTTTGTTGAGAACTTCCCGTCATCCGATAAGCCCCAAATAACGCGATCCTCCCCCGCCTCATCATGTGGTGGAAGTGTGCCTGCAATAAATAGAATTATGGAGGAAGGGAGAGTTCCATGAAAATAATCCCACTTCCATCGGCCATAATCGTCCACAAAATCTGCTACTCTCGAGCTCACATCAATCGCATGATTTTGGGAAGTAACGTATCGCACCAATGGGCCAAAGGTACCGAGCCAGGAGTCAAGCCAGAACCTAATCGTCGTACCATTGCCTAGTACCCAGCGCACACCGGAAACTACCTTGTCCAGATTTTGCTAATTGCTCAAAAAAAGCTCGATCCCTGTCTCACTGGAAATGAATCCAGCCCGGTCGATGGTTTTAGGTTATATTTGGCCGTAAATACTTTCACCCAAAGAGGCGTTGGATTTGTTAATAGTTCCCATCCCATTTTCATCAGCATAGCCGAATTCATACGTCGGAGATCCTTGATTCCCAAGCCTCCCGCATCTCTGGGTTTACATACCTCCTTCCACGCTACAAGATGTATCTTCCTCCGTCCCTCCGAGCCGCCCCACACGAACGCCCGGCTCCTTCTTTCAAGCCCGTCTGTGATAGACCCCAGTAGGTAAGCAGTTTGCATAGAGTAGATAGGCATCGCGTTAAGTACTGACTGAGTAAGGGAAACTCTTCCTGCTAATAATAGGGATTCCATTCGCCATCCGGCTAGTCGGGACTCTGTTTTTTCCAAAATATGGTTGAACATCTCTCCGGTCACACGACCATGAGTTACTGGCACTCCAAAATATTTACCCAAATTGTCCGTTAAGGTGAAGTTGACGGCTCTCGCTAGTCGCACTTGTTCCCGGGCTTCCACGTTTCTGGAGAAAAACACTTGCGTTTTTGCCGAGCTTACCTTAAGCCCGGACCGATTGCAGAAACAATCAAGAACTTGTTTTATAACTCTTGTCTGGTCGTCCGATGCCTCCAAGAATAAAAGTAGATCATCAGCAAACATAAGGAAGGGGACATTAACGGCGCCTCTCCCGACCGAGATCGGCCTCCACTCGCG